TGCAAAAACTAATTCAGAAAGAATGGATTCAGAAGGTATTCCTACTCTAGATTGTGCACTGTGCTACTGGAGAAAAAATCAAGGAAAAGTTACAGCTCCACATATCATGTTTATAGGAACAAGCCAATTGAATTGTCCAGGAACTAAAAAAAATAAGAACGAAATCGTGATTGCAGAATTTGAATCCAGCAAGAGTAGTAATACAAGCAAGAAAGTTGAAACGAAAAAGACAGCAGCCACTGAAACAAAGAAAAAGTCAAACTCAGAAACAATGGAAATTTATCAGCAACCACCAACTTTTCCAGAAATGAAATCTAAATCTGATTCAGCCAAGAGTCACAATCAAGGAAACGCAACCATGGAAACGCAAAGTATGAAACAGGCAGACTGTGAAATACTAATAGATAAACAAGCCATGAATAAAGAATTTTCATTATTAGAGGACAATAAATATATAGATTATGATCAATTCCACAGAGCAACAAGTCAGAAATATTGGGAAAAGTCAACTAAATGTTTGATAAACAAGAAACCAGCACAAATGCAATTAAATATAAAATCAAATATCACTTTGGTACGTGAAAATTTTTTAGAAAAATCAGATTATAGCGGAGAAATGGTTTACTGTTTAGACAGAGAAGGTTTTTTAATGCGATTTTGGACAGCTTATATTTATTTGAAGTCGCCCTATATATCAAGATCATTGAAAGTAGTGGTAACAAGCAACATCGGAACAGATGTGATTCTGGGATACAAAGACTTCAACATTAGAGACTGTTCTGATGAAGACATACGAGTCTGGGAACAAAGTCATCTCCATCAACAAAAATAACAGCTGATTCAAGGAAAATTACCATCAACTGAAGTATCACTATTTACGAACATGAAACTATACGGTCCATTATGCTGAACATCAACATCAAGACAACATATCACCATGCAAGAAGTTCAAGATTATTATCAGTCAGGAAGCTACATAGAACCACCTTCAACCTAACATATCAAGAGTAAACCTGAACAATCATCAAGAATTGATATTTTACCATTCTTCACCTGTAAGATTCTTATTTCAACCACAATCAGAAATCACCAACATGTACTGTACAGGGAATGAACAGAAACATATCAACCACTGAATTATTCAAATTTGAAAATCACTATTAAGGAACACAAAATTATTTTCTCCAGACACCTCAAAATCGACCATTGAAACATTTCAAAATCGTCAAATTTAGCGACACTTCAAGACCAGCTATACAAATCGACATCAAGATCATCGAATACCAAACGTATCATAAAATAAAGAATGCGAGAATAATGAAGCATTCCTACAGTTTAAGCGAAGACAACAGACAACCAAAATGTCAGTATTTCTAGTGTTCACACAAGTATTTATTGTGAAAGTTAAATCAAGTTAATTATCTAAAGTGTTGGTGTAAATAAATATTAAATTAATGATGAAGTATTTTTAAAAAGTGCATAAACACCTGATTTAATTTATAAAAAACAGTCACATACTGTGTGTATTGAACACCTTCCGTTTAATTCCATTACTAATTATTTTAAAGGTGGCATATCAGTGTATGCAGTCACTGAACACTGTTAATAGTATTGTGTTAACTTATAAAATAATAATATTTTTAGTCAGTATATTTGCAAGATTAATAAGTATCCTACCAAGAAAGACCCCAGAGCAGAACAGACTGTCGAGCAAACCAAGGAATGAGAACCTTGAAAGCAAGCGCCAGAGTACAAGCAAGACACACATAGCCTGCAGTAATTGATCAAGATCAAGAATAGTTAATGGAATGAATGGGAATGAAAGAGAATAAAACAGGTATGAATGATGAATGAAAGATTTGTGGGTAGTATTTTAATAGTGTACATGTAGTTTACTTAGGTTAGTAGTTCATTAGGAATAGTTTAGTATTCATGTAATGGCAGTAGTTCAAAAGTTTAAAAAAATAAAAATAAAAACTCTCCCCAGGAACAGCCCAGAGAAATGGAATTAGTCAGATGTAGCAATAGATAATATAGGGACAATTTGTCCACAGAATGACTTTGATAAAAAATATTTAATTTAAAATGTTTAGCACAGGGACATGGTAAATTGGTCCACGACACCCAAGATTATAAACTGCTATAATTATACTGATGCTGACTAGACTGATGGTAAAGAAAGAGTGCACACATCAAAGCACAAGCATAGTAGAGGAGTTGAACTCATCTGTGTCCATCTAAAGGGGGAAAGGTGTCTGAGATTCCTTGGGGTTAACTACCCTGTTAAAGGTGTTATAGACTTGGAGGAAACTCTAAGATCTATGAAAAAATATATCTCAACTATCATTGTTTTCATGTTGGATTAATTGGGGTTGGGTAATTACCCTGTAAAAGGTGAGACTTTGGTCTATGAAAAAATATCTCAACATGTTATAGGGGCTTTTGGGAAACTAGAAGCACTATGTTAAATATATCTCACCACTATCATATCGGCTAAGAGTCCTTGGGGTTAAACACCCTGTGAAAGGTGATGTAGAAATATTGGTTAAATCCAATTTTCTATGTAGTAAATATCTCAAAGCTGACATCATCATCACTATCATTTCACTTTAAACCCGATAGAGTAGATATAGGGACTAGACAATACTACAGATGCAATAGGTGCAAAGATGAGATACCCTTCACCAGCTCAGTACTAGGAAGTAGGCAGTAAATATTAAAGGCAGTTTTAAAGAGCAGTAATTGAGGATAATCAGGAACCATAATCCCTAGTGGTAATACAATTAAATTGATTTACTATATCTGGTTAAATGAAAATGACACTTGATGTTCCATAAAGTGTCATTTTGTTAAAAAGGGGAGAGAGTGTGATGTCCCTGCTTTGCATGGTCTCCACGAGTACATTGTGGCAAGCAGGAAGTCCGTGCTACAAGTTACGACACGAGATAGTTGTGGCCGTTGGAGTAAGCGAGGCGAAGCCCGAGCTAGCCTCGTGGTCAGTCGATCATGAGAAGTCAGAGTAGACGGTTGTAGTAATTGAAGAAGTCTTTATGTCGCGCAAATGATTAGTCTTGGAATATGTCGCGAGTGATTAAGTGTGAATAATTGTTTGAATATGTGAAAAAAATGGACCAGAATAAACTGACAGAATGTACCAAGAAGCTGAGCGGCGTTTGTGTTATCAACTCTAGACGTTAAAGCAGTGCAAGTTTTGTAGCAGTAAACATCCAGAGAGTGAGCCGTGGCGAAAGCCAATAGGTAGTAAGCCAAAGTGCAATCCAAGTCAAGCCAAGGTTTATTACAGTTGTCTGGGTGGACACGAATGCCAAGCTCAATTTAACAACAATATTTCGTCATGCAATGACTTTCCCATACTTCGTAGAGGATGATATGATTGTCACAGTGGGGAGGGGGGGGGGGGTGGCTTATGTCAGACACTGTTAACTGCGAGAGCTTAAATTATTATTTTAAAGTTCTCATTTGGGAACTATTTTTTATTTTAACAATGTCGCCACGTGATAATTGTTAAATCATTCCGAGAGGGAGATATGACTGGGAAAGAAAAGGGGGGGGGGGGGGGGGTTATGACAGACACTGTTAGCTGTTATAACTTTATTTTACAGTTCTCTTTTCTTAAATATTTATATTTTAATACCGCTTCCTCAGCTATTCTCATTTTTTTATTTTTTTTTTTGGGTGCTAGTTTGTTGATCAGTTAGAGGTATAGCAGTCAGCTTTACTTTTACCTGTTTAAGCACAACAGATGCTTTAGCCTCGATAAACAAATAATCTTTTTTTTCTCTCTCTAACAGTGCACTTTTTTCGACCACTAATATCGACATTGCATGTTCTAGAGTTGGCATATCACACTATCTCTGTAACTGTGCAATGAATGATATTAACCATATTAGACATGTGCGCTTTCTATTTTCTTTCTTTTCCAGGTTACCATTCTGGGCCACAGCAACGCGTGGCTGGGTACAGCTAGTATATTATAGGCTACATGCAGTCGTGGGACACAAACAACAACAAATATTGTTCTGGTGGTATGTGTAAACTGCACCCTGGCTTAGAACAGATGTCATTTACTTTAATTATACTTTATTTTCTGCCCCTGCAGATGCGCTTTTGGTAACTGGCCTGTAGAAGTAAAATGACATTACTCCAGCGACTTTAATCATATGCATGTTCGAATAAATCGTCTCTTATGTAAGGTAATCACACACATGATTAAGTAATATATGTCTTATACAGCTTCACTGAATGAATAATGGAAGTCATTTCTAAAAGAATGAATTTACCCGTCTCTGTGTTGATGTATTAAGTTAAAAGTTAAAGTCGAGAGGAGTGACTTGAGTGCAAAGAGCTTTCTCCAAATAGCTAGATATCTCTCCGTAGAATAGCAACTGCCTGCCGAGAGCATCGAACAAATCACGAACACCCTAGCTTTGGCGACGATCCCCAGGGGTCTCCGTAAAAAAAAACGCACTCGGGAACCGAAGGACGCAGTCGTGAAACGAGCCCGTGACCTTCTGAGCTAAGTCCTCTAAGGATGTTAAATGTTGAATGAGGAATCGACATCATAGCATTCGGGACACTGAGATAAGCTCTCCGTCCTTATTTTCAGCTGCAAGTTCCTATTCTGATGCTATCAGTAGCAGTCTGATTGTTATATTCGTCTTCCCCGAGTGGGCTCTGGGGCCCTGTTATAGAGAAAACAAGAATAGACCCACTGACTATCTAAAAGCATGTCGTAAGAGTAAACTAATTGGGAGCTTCCTTTGAAGTCGGAATGCACCTGCCTGCTATTCAAGGAACCAACAGTCTGCACACAGATGTGTCAAATCTGTCAAAGGGATGCACATGCAACACACAGGTTCTGGACGACAAACCATAACTTTCCACCAGAGTTTACAGCCGGTAAATACAGAGAAGAAGATTTCCGTCTAACCGTTTTCCCCCAAACTGCTGGCATTTTAGTTACAATATTTTACACTAACCTGCAGAAATACAGCAGTATGGTTGCAGGGAGACATCTGCAGTGTCTTCAGTAGTTTCTTTTGTCATTAGCGGTTGGAAAGCTTCAGTGTTAGCCTCACTCTCTGGAGCCGCGTCCTTAACTTTCTGTTGCAGCTTCTGTTTGGCTTCATGCTGCAGATGGCTTCTGGAGATGTCGTTAATTTTACTGAGCACTTTTTCTCTTCGGTCATTTTTCCTGAGTTTAGCCATTTCCTAAATCAAATAATATATGACATAACTAGATACAGCAGCAACAGGTAAAGGCAAATGTTAATGGTAGCATAAATAACAGCAACAGAGGCAAGAGTACAAAAAGCTTAAAATAATAGTAGTAGCAGTTATAGTAAAAGTGGTAGTGGTACTGGTAGTAGTGGCAGTAATCGTAGTAGTACTTACAGTAGTAGTTGTTGTAATGGTGGTGGTGGTAATTATAGTTGTTGGGTGTATGTTTAAGAAGAAGAAGAAGAAGAAGAAGAAGAAGAAGAAGAAGAAGAAGAAGAAGAAGAAGAAGAAGAAGAAGAAGAAGAAGAAGAAGAAGCAGAAGAAGAACAAGAACAAGAACAAGAGCAAGAACAAGAAGAACAAAAACAAGAAGAAAAAGAGCAAAAATAAGAACAAGAGGAAGAACAAGTAATAGACGAAGAAAGACAAGTAGAACAGCCGTAGCCTCGTATTCTAGCATCAACAGAACAAATAACAAAAACTACCAACTCCTTTACCTTCAGGTATGTCCTCAACTGGTTGTCCTGTTTATTCTTCCGTATATGTGAGGCAATCATCATGACGATAGATAGACCATAAATGAGGATCACAGCCACGACATAGTAAAGTGCCCCAATATCATCGTCACCAGCTCTTCTAGGATCTTCAATGTACCCAACCCAGGTGATGTTATCGTCCTGAGTTTGCTGAATGCGAATATTGAGTCTTCCATTGACGTCCAATGAATTTCTGCGCAAACAAATGGGATTATATTAATATAATTTTAACACACTATAACTGCGTTGGTGATTAATACGCCAGTACCTGTCCTTGACATCCTTTTGAAGGAAGTTTTTCGCCAGGAACACAGATGAGTATCATTTATTATGTACATTAGTCCTATGTAGTCACTTCATAGTTAGAGCATATTTGTGTATGTGTACTGTATTGTTCTTTATGTGCTGATGAAGGCTAATCGCCGCAACGTCCTTTGTTCGTTTATTGTGATCGATTTTGTAAAGCTAACATAAACTGTTTGTTGTTTCTTACCAACTTTTTTTCTTCCCTATAATTTTCTACTAATTTTAAAAACTAACTGTTAGCTAGACGTTCCATGGTGCATGGGGCTGACAATGTTAAGTACATGCCATGCGTGCTTAAGCAGATCGAGACAGGATGCATTCAAAGAAAATGTTTGTAGACACTAACGAAATCTCGTCTGAAGGGAATTAGTTTCATTTTCGTGCCAATGGCGCGGTGATTTCGGTCACCCTTTAGTGGCGTGAAGGTTTATCCATGAAGGCACTAGCACACAAAAAACGGCATTTTTCTCTGTCTTACTCTTGTTGCACAAATGAATGATAATTTAGTTGTGTCCACTTCTTGATGTTTCTATTCCAAGTCCCTCTTTGGCGCAGCCCCCCCCCCCCCCCCCCCCCCCCCCGTTTTTTTTTTTTTTTTTGGACTGCCGCCAATGTTCTTTGAAGTATAGTCTTTGCAATCGAATCATGTCCCAGGCTCCTGATGTCTTGCAATTTTGCTTATTTTGTATTGAGTGTCCTTTATCCCACAATGTTGTACCTGGAAGTATTGAGCGTCCTTTATCCCAAAATGTTGTACCTGGAAGTATTGAGCGTCCTTGATCCCACAATGTTGTACCTGAAAGTATTGAGCGTCCTTTATCTCACAATGTTGTACCTGGAAGTATCGAGCGTCCTTTATCTCAAAATGTTGTACCTGGAAGTATCGAGCGTCCTTTATCTCACAATGTTGTACCTGAAAGTATTGAGCGTCCTTTATCTCACAATGTTGTACCTGAAAGTATTGAGCGTCCTTTATACCACAATGTTGTACCTGGAAGTATTGAGCGTCCTTTATCTCACAATGTTGTACCTGAAAGTATTGAGCGTCCTTTATCTCACAATGTTGTACCTAGGAGTATTGAGCGTCCTTTATCTCACAATGTTGTACCTAGGAGTATTGAGCGTCCTTTATCTCACAATGTTGTACCTAGGAGTATTGAGCGTCCTTTATCTCACAATGTTGTACCTAGGAGTATTGAGCATCCTTTATCTCACAATGTTGTACCTGAAAGTATTGAGCGTCCTTTATCTCACAATGTTGTACCTGGAAGTATTGAGCGTCCTTTATCTCACAATGTTGTACCTGAAAGTATTGAGCGTCCTTTATCTCACAATGTTGTACCTGAAAGTATTGAGCGCCCTTTATCTCACAATGTCGTACCTGAGTATTGAGCGTCCTTTATCTCACAATGTTGTACCTGGAAGTATTGAGCGTCCTTTATCCCACAATGTTGTACCTGGAAGTATTGAGCGTCCTTTATCCCACAATGTTGTACCCGGAAGTATTGAGCGTCCTTTATCCCACAATGTTGTACCCGGAAGTATTGAGCGTCCTTTATCCCACAATGTTGTACCTGGAAGTATTAAGCGTCCTTTATCTCACAATGTTGTACCTGAAAGTATTAAATGTCTCTTTGTCAAGGAGATAGGAAGCTACGAGGAGCTACCTGCCGAACGTTAAGAACGATGAGCTTTAAAATCGGTAGACATGGTTCACATTTTTCGTAGTAGTGACATTATTTTTCTGATGAGAGCTAAAATGTCATCGATACCAGCACAGTCCTTGGCAGGTGCGCTAGCTATGCAGCCCTAAACTTCCGGGTCAAAAGACCTTCTATCTTACACAGCCCAAAAATAGGGTAAATACACTTGATTCAGAACACCAAAGACCAAGATCTGTGGAGAAAGATGCATAAACGCCTAGGCCAGGGGACAAAGCACTTGATGATGATGATAATGGATAAGAAGAGTGATGGATAATAAGGGCATACTAGTCAAAGTCTGTGCGTATTAAAGTTAATTCTTACAACCAGCGCGTCTGTAGTCATCTCTATTTCCGGCATAGCTATATCAGCGTTGGACGCCGGATTTTTATTTCAGCAACTATTAGCACATTTCTTTGAGAAGTATTAGCCACCGTTTACAAATTTCAGTTGGCAACACGAAATACATGGCTGCTTTCAATGTTACAATTGCCCAAATCTCCTAATAAATTGTATGGAAATAGAGAATCCTCTGTAACCCGAGCCGATATGGAATCATAAGTCTCCGATTTCCTTATACAAGGAACTGAAATCATCTTATATAAGGAGAACGACAAGATTAAATCTAGAGTTATATGTCCCTGAAAGCAACATGTGTAACCATGGCGACAGTTTTCCGGCTATGCAAAATCAATGCGACGTTGTCTTACACTCGAAGCAGTTAATAAGAACATTCGCATAATTTATTTATTCTGTACAGAATTACCCTTCGTAATTCTTTTATATGTTTGAAGTTCGCCCGGCTCTCTAGCGTAGTAGGCTAAACCGGATTGCGCGGAGACCGGGTGACGAACTCTTTGTGGTCCTGGTTCACTCCCGGGGGTAGGCAGAAAAGCCACATTTTCTCCCAGATTTACGGTATTTACAATGGAATCAAGGCGGAAAGGTTGCGATATCCATAATACCGAGCCTAAGGGTTAACAACTCATGGCTTCTGGATACTAAAACAAACAATATGTTTGTGGTAAATTATTAATTCGGGTTCTTTTTTCAGAATGTTATGCTTTTCCCCCATTCTGTTTGTGAGTGAGTGTGTGAGAGTAAGTGCGTGCTCGTGTGGTGTGCGTATGTGCGTGTGTGCGTATGTAATGTGAGAGAAGGTGTGTGAGTAAGTGCTGGGTGTTTCAGAGTGCTTGCGTGTGTAGAATTATGTATCAATGTTTTTAAAGAATTTTTGTTCCCCTTTTTCTTCTCCTTTTTAAAATCTCATCCCAAATTAAAATACTGAAAACAGTTGTCATAAAATTCGATGCAGTCGAAAAAACTGCGCGAGCAGCTGAATTAAATAGGAAGTGTTACTTTCGTTTGCAAAAGACTATGCATTGCTTAAAAACTGAGCTAGGTTCCTAGCCTCTAGTAACACGTAAGCTATTATAGTCCATGTTCACGGGTAGTCTGTCTTTTAGTCTTTCTGCATAGGAGGTTAGTTAACTACAGTCAGAACTAAAATGATAAATGTTTCGTTTTTATCAAAACTACCACAGTATCCAGTTGGGAAGTTTGGTTTCTTAAGTGTGCTCAGATCAAAAAATGAAATACAGATGTTTGGCTAGGGTTCACGTTACACGTCACTCGTTTACTGGGATTTGTATATAGAAAACAACGGATATAAAGTGACATATAAAGGGTACAAATTAGGGTTTGGGGGCGAGATTTATATAAATCAAGCTGCTCTTCTTCTTCTTTTACTTCTCTTTTTCTTCTTCTTCTTCTTCTTCTTCTTCTTCTTCTTCTTCTTCTTCTTCTTCTTCTTCTTCTTCTTCTTCTTCTTCTTCTTCTTCTTCTTCTTCTTCTTCTTCTTCTTCTTCTTCTTCTTCTTCTTCGGCTCTGGGTACCCTCTTACAGGAACGGTTGATGATTGCGCTGTGGTTTACATCTGCGACTTTCGGCCCAATATTTCCAAGTTTTAAAAAAAACACCAACCTCTAATTAGTCCTTTACGACTTGCATCTGTGGGAGTCTGTCTATTGTTTTCTCACCCTAGAATAGGGCTAGAGTCTCTACATGGAGACCACAAATCTAGTGATTTACTTAATCGTAAAATACACATTGATTCAATGAGTTGATCGAAGTAACTTAACATAAATCAAGTTGGATGGTAAAAGAAACGCAGGAGATTATATTTCCCGTTGGCTAGAATTCGGAGAGAAAGTCAGCTACACATTACATGGCTGGGATTCAGGGGGGAAAATCAGCTACACATTCCATGGCTAGAGTGAGGGGGAAAGCCAGCCAACGTTCCATGGCTAGGATTCAGGGCGAAAGTCAGCTACATGTTCCCTAGCTAGGATATACGGAGAAAGTCAGCTACACATTCCAAGACTAGGATTCAAGGAAAAAGGGGGGGGGGGGGGGGGGGAATCAGCTACACGTTCGATGGCTAGGATTCAGGGTACAAGTTAGCTAGACGTTTAATTGTGTTTGGGACTTACAATGTTAAGTACATCCCATGCGTGCTTAAGAAGATCGAGACAGGATGAATTCTAAGAAAATGGTTGTAGTCACTGACGAAATCTCGTTTAAAGGGAATAAGTTTCATTTTTGTGCCAGGATACTCTGGGATAAGAAGCAATGAACGAGCGGATTGGCTTGCTATGAGGGCCAGGGTAGATACAGGAAAAGCAATGGACCGGGCCGACTTTCTCAGCGCTTTCAAAGAAACAAGAAAGGGAGAGGATTCAAGAGACGACGGTGAATTGGCAACACTGAACAGACGACAAGAGCTGAAGGTCAAAAGAGGTGTCTCTAAACAGGAACACTTTGCAGGTAGCTAAAGAAGAATAGTGAACCAACACAGAACAGGAGTTATTAATCGCCACACGCTGATGGTTATACTGAAGATGTGATCTGAGCGCTTACGGACTTGTCCGATGTGCATTAAGGATACTCTGTCGATTAAAAAACTAACTATTGTTAAATACAACATGGGAAAGAATAATGACAGAAAATAATAGGGACGATAATGAGAGAAGTGGTACAAGGGACGTAAATCTATTGAATCACGTATTGACTTTCCAAGTTCCCAAACGGCTGTCTCATGCTCTCATGAACCACATTTGTATTAGCATACTGTCCTCCTTATCAATTTATGCTAGCGGTTCTAAAATTTTGGTCTTAGTGACCG